ATACTGCCATGATACATATCTCTCAAGTCCCTCGGGACGTGAACGCGGTTATCACCGATGATCTCCCACATCCACGCCATGGACTCGCGCATCTTGGGTGCTTCGCGTCTCATCTCGCTCAGGGCGTCTTCCATGACCGCGACCCGGTTCTTGAGGGCCTTGATCGTGGCCTTGGTCTCGGTGGTGGGGTCGGGCGGGGCGGAGACAGTGCCGGCGGTGGTGGTGATAGCGTCGGCCATGGTGGTGTTTGACGACGACGATGGTGTTGTGGGTGTGGGTATGGAGGGGACGGGGAGGTGTGTAGGCACCACAACACTCTTCTTGACGTTCTCCAACTACCATCATAGAACCGTAGTCAGTAAAACATATTCCCAAATATTCCAGACAGTAGTGTTAAACAAACCTCCTTCCTCAACTCCGCGTTCTTGCGACAGACACGGTACGCTTCTTCGGCAATCTCCTGCGGAGTCGCGTAGTTGTCGAGGCGGGCGCGGATGCGCTGGGTATCGGGGTCGTACTCCATTGGTACTGAGGAGCGGAGTTTGCGGGTGTAGGGCAGGGACTTTTTGATGTACTGCTTGAGTTTGTTTTGGGTGAGGCCGCTGCGGGTGCGACGACGGCTGGGCATGTACTGGTGGAGTGTGTTAGGATTGTGAGACAGTGGATCACAGCAGAGGGCAGCAGAAGAGGTTCGGCTGGTGTGAGGTGGTGCGAGGATGGAGGAGAGGGAGGGCGAGATATAATTCCAGGCTGCGATGCAGAGATTTCGGTTAGTGCGTTTGCGCGTTTGCATTGGGCTGGGTTTCACTTTCACTTTCACTGGAACGTGGTGGAAGTTCAGTGTTGACGTCAGAGTGTAGGTGGACGGGCGCGATAGGAGGTGGATGTGCAGAGACCGAACATCAGACCGCCTCAGGAGACGGTGAGACGGGGTTGATTCTGGGCCTCTTATAGCTACTCAGTCAATGGTTCATTGTCAGGCCTCTCCACTGGTTCCTTCTTCTCTGGCTTCTCCATACGCCTCCAGAGACCCAGGAAGCCACCTCCGACAACCATTTGGCCGGCTTTTGGTCGGCACACCATGACCCATTTCTCCTCCTGTTTGATCAGATCTTCTTTTAGCTCGTTATCCCGGCCTTCTTGGCCTGATTCCGAGTCTGCGCTTTCATCGCTCGAAGGCTCGGAAGGTTGCTCTGGCTGAGCCTTCTTCATTGGCGCTCTCGGTCTGACTGCGCGAACATCCCACTCGCGAATTGTACCTGCTCCTAGCTCAATGACCTGGTCAAGGAGGTAGGGCATCTTATGCTCCCGGATAGCTTCGACACATTCAGCGATCTGGGTAATGCTTGGGTTGAAGACGGCGAGCATGCCATTGACGTGCAACGCAGGAGCGACATTAGCGAGATGGCTTGTCGCATTGGGAAGATCCAGGAACACGTGAGTCAGGAATGGCTCCTCGGTCTTTCTCGAAGCTCTTTGTTTGGCGATCCACTCAGACACGTCTCCTACGTGAAAGTCGACGTTGCCCGCGTACATGCCATGTCGGAAGCCTTCCACGATCTTCTTCGCATGTACTGAATGCTTGCTGGATATATCCAGGGTATGTATGATAGCGCGACGGTTCTGCTTCCACGACGATAGTGCTGATTCCTGTAGGTCTGATATGGACTCGCCGAGGTATACTGCGTCTTCGGGTTCTTCTTGGGTAGTGACATAGGACGGTGTTCTTGGAACTGGAGGGTTGCCGGCGTGTATGGCGCGAGAGAGATGCAGCGTCAGCGCTCCATGGCCTGTGCCAGCTTCGAGGATCTCAAGAGGTGGTCCGGTGTTGGGAGTAGCGGATGGAGTATCTACGTGGATGTCGAGCAGAGACACTATGAGGTTGGTATCCGAAGGGTAGATCTGGAGAATGTCAGCATGAGTATTCGGTCTCGTCGTGGCATGGAATACGCACTGGAGTAACAAGGCGCGGTGTCAATCTGACATATTCGGCCAACGTAGGCTCGTAGACGCGAAAGGTGTCGCCCTTGTGGGAACGGACAATTTGCCGTGGCTCCTTTCCAATAACATCTGCATGCTTTACGACGCCTCGGTGTGTGCCGAGGGTCTTGGCCGCCTGCAGTTTCACGAGACGCCCATCCTGAGTCTCTTTGCTCTCGCGCAGGAGCACAACATCGCCTTCTATGCGCCTGTGAGCGGGGTCGGGGTGGTGGAAGCGGAGGTCTTGCCTTGGAAAGCGCGATGGAGGCAGGAGCTACTGGTAAAGTGTCGCGCACGCGGTTGGAGTGCAGCACGGCGTAGCTGGTGGAGAGAGGATGATCGCATGGCTTTGTAAGAAGAAAGATGTGCAGATGCGGAGGTGACGCCTTCTCCGCAACAAGCGAGCCGCGACCGCAGGAGGGCACCGAGTATGCTTTGCAGGCGTAGGAATGCAGTAAATCTTACATCGTAAATTATGCCCTTGTTTATGACTTCTGACCCTACTACATGCTATGCCAGTACATTCAATCTACTGTACCGCATAATGCATAACGTCACAGCGGTGATTCTGATCCCTGCATCGCCATTGACGATCCGAGACTCCAGGGTTCGGCCAAGAACAACATGGAGCACCTGCACACTTCCAACGCATGCGCCTCGCCCAACACGCCTAACTTCACACCCTCAGCAAACGAGCCCATGTCATGGAGATGAGATCGCGCTGCTGCGAAAGACACATATCCTAAACCCGACGCTGGCTCTATGCGCCACTACTCACACCTTCGGGAGCCTCCACCATGACGCGCCGCATAGTACGCACAGCATAACCTTTCTTCCGCCAGTACTAACAATCACAGGTACGGACGGGCATTCAGCTCATAGCCCTCACCATCGTCGTCTCCCTAACCATATTCTTCCTCGATAACCGCTACCGCGTCCTCCCTCAATCTGTCCACAGTCACATGCCACTGCACCACGACGGCCTCGTTATCACTGATATCACCGTACAGACATGCTCGACCATCAATCCCCTCTCGAAGTGCATGCTAGACCAGAAGAAGTGGCATCGCATAGAGAAGGACCTATACCTCGGCTCTGGGTGGGTCACCAAAGGATACGTCCACATCAAGCGCAAGCGGGAGGAGGAGCTCAAGACAGAGGACAAGGTCATCATCGACGTTCGCACAGGCAAGCTTGATCCCTCTGTGGGAGAAAAGGCCCAGGCGTCGGAGAAGTGGGAGTCGCGCCCAGCTGGCCTCTGGATCAAGAGGTCGCTGAAGCGTCACGCGAGCGACGACAAGAAGGCAGTGACGGCCGTAGACATCCTATTCGGCGCCGACGCAGTAGAGCCACGCCCTGGCTGGGAGCTGGTCAAGAACGGAGCCCTGCATCTTGAGACGGGCAAAGCAAGCACAGATCCCCGCCTGAGCATACGAAGAGGCCCGGCAGCCAAGCTCGAGAAGCCCGTACCCAAGATCAGAAAGGATGGCAAATTCAAGATTATGCAGATCTCTGACCTGCATCTCAGCACTGGTCTCGGCCACTGCAGAGACGCAGAGCCGCCCGGCCACAACGGCGGGCACTGTGACGCCGATCCCAGGACTATAGAGTTTGTGGAGAGGGTGCTGGACGATGAAAAGCCAGACTTTGTAGTTCTGTCTGGCGACCAGGTCAACGGCGATACAGCACCTGATGTGCAGAGCGTAGGGCGCCTCCCATCTTTTACGCACCACAAAGCTAACCATCTCACAGGCCATGTTCAAGATAGTCGAACCCCTCGCAGAGCGCAAGATACCGTACGCAGCCATCTTCGGCAACCACGACGACGAAGGCACCCTCTCCCGCCACGCACAAATGGACCTCTACGACTCGCTCCCCTACTCCGTCAGCGAACCCGGTCCCAACACAATCGACGGCGTAGGAAACTACTTCGTCGAGATCCAAGCCCACAGCAGCAAGCACTCCGCCCTAACCCTCTGGTTCCTCGACACGCACGCCTACTCGCCAGACGAAACCCACTACCGGGGCTACGACTGGCTCAAGCCGAACCAAATCGACTGGTTCAAAGCCACCGCCGGCGGCCTAAAAGAAGCACACAGCCACTACACCCACAAACACCTCAACATGGCCTTCATCCACATCCCCCTCCCCGAATACGGCAACCCCGATAACGACCGCGTGGGCAACTGGACCGAGCCCATCACCGCCCCCGCTTTCAACACGCACTTCAAAGACGCCCTCGTCGAATACGATATCAAAGCCGTCTCCTGCGGCCACGACCACGTAAACGACTACTGCGCCCTCTCCAAAGAACCCGAGACTGGTGACCCAGAATTGTGGATGTGCTATGCGGGTGGTAGTGGCTTTGGTGGTTACGGCGGGTACAACCACTTTCACAGGAGGTTAAGGGTGTTTGAGATCGATACGAATCAGGCAAGGATTGTGACGTGGAAGAGGTTGGAGTATGGGGATACGGGGAAGAGGCTCGATACGCAGATTATTGTTGATTCGGGGAATGTTATGCCGATGCAGGTTGCGAACCAGGAGTGAGATGAGGGAAAGTGGTTGTTGCACGTTATGGCGTTTCGGTGTAGTGGTATGGATGGATAGGAAAATCACCGCTTTTTTGTTTGGGGTTAGCGTTGAGATGGGTTCGGGATACGTCGAGACGCCTTGTTAGTCTTCAATTGAAAGTTCAAATCCATTTGTGTAATCATCTTGTGAAGATACGCGTACCCTGCCATGTGCTGTTTATGTCTGGGCTGTCTGCAGCACAGTGGATGTATCCGTCTTAATTGCTGAATGACTGGTTGTCCAGCCAGGCTCTCAGTCTATGATGTGAGTTTCATCACGCGAAAGCAAGCTGGAATCTGTGTAGTTTATCACAAGAAAACGCAGAATGAAAGGGTAACACGGTGTAATGAATGAGTTCAAGTATCGCTCATGCGACGCGTACTTCATAATTCGTGCTACAGTAGCTACAACAAACCCATCTCCATTCCTATCCATCCTCAGACCTCCTAGTAAACATACCGGAAGTTGGGGTTCTCCTTATCCGTCAAATCATCAAAGCCATGCGCGTTACTAATATCCTTTCCAAACTCCCTATCCTTCTTCTTATTCCTGAGCGTGAGGTTGAACCTCAAAAACGCAATGACAACCAGCAGCGCGCTGTAGCACCCGAGATGAATAGCTAGGGACTTGAGATAGCGTGGGTCGCCATCGAAAAATACCTTTGGTCCAATCGCATTACCCGCGCACCACGCGAAGAAGTTCATGGTGATGCAGACGGATTTCTTCGTCTGCCCGCCGACGTTGCGGGTAAGCATGGACATGCCGAGACCCTGGGCGGCCCAGAAGGTGAAGACGATCCAGTAGGAGATGAGCAGACCGGCTTTGGTAGCGTTGTTTGTGTTTTTAACGGTCATGATGATGATTGTGCCGACGAAGGCGGGGATCATGAAGACGGCCATGGTAAGCAAGTTTTGCTTTGTTTTCTTCACCATCCAGGCGGAACCCATTAGTGTGGCGATGATGACGACACCAAGGACCATGGCGAGGAGCTGGACTTGGAGAGTGTCGAAACCGAGGTCTTTGATGATGATGTTATAGAAGGCGCCGAGGCCTGAGGTGGGTAAAGTGGTGAAGATCTGAATGCCCATGTAGCAGTAGGTTTGGGGGTCGAGGAGGGCTTCTTTGAATTGGTAGGCGCGGAACTTTTTGTTTTGGAGACCGGTTTGGTTGGAGCGTACACGCTCAACCATGAGCTTCTTGTCTTCCTCTGACCAGCATTTGGCGCGCATGGGGCTGTCGGGGAGGCGGAAGATGACCCACAAACCCCAGATGAAGGAGAAGCAACCGTATGTGATGAATATAGCTTGCCAGGATCGGATAGAAGCGTTACCGGGGTTCGCAGAGAAGCTAGGATGTCTGATGTTGGTGAAAGCGTATGCGAGGAGACCGCCGACAATTTGTTGCATGCCGTCTGTAGGTATGGATTAGTTGGAGTTGTATGTCTTTGATCTTGTATAACTTACTCATCATGTACCAGTAAGTAACGATCTGGGCCTGCTCCTCACGCTTGTACCAGAGAGAAGTCATGATGAGGAAAGCGGGCTGGCAGACAGCCTCGAAGATACCAAGGAGTGTTCGGCAAACGACGAGCGCAGGGAAGCTGAAGCAGGCCGCATGGCAGGCAAGTACGGTACTCCATGCAAGAATGTTGAATCCGAGGTATTTGGCTACTGGTACTCGTTGGAGAATCCAGTTGGTAGGGTATTCGACGACCAGTACAGCGAGGTAGATACAGGTGGTGAGCCACCCAAACTGTCATGAGTCAGTGCATGATACTAGTGCCCACAGACTTTGCAACTCACAGTCTCTTTGGAAAGAAGCGCGGGAATATCCTCACGGATACCCATGATGGAGGTAGCGGACATTGTGCCCTTGTCCAGCGATTGCAGGAAGTACGTGATGACCATAATAGGCAGTACACGACGGTCGATCATCTTCTTTAACCGGGCGTTCTCCTCTTCCGAGATGAAAACCTCAGAAGCGTTTGCGTATTTGGCAACCTCCTTGTCGATACGGTTGTAGTCGGCATGGTCGCCCTTCTCGTCTCCTCCTTCGGAGAACACGCGCTCGACCTGGCTAATGTCCTGCTTATCGTCCGAATGGCGAACAACCTCGGGTGTGTTGTGCACGCCATCGGCACTGGCTCTGGTGGTAGCCATCTTGAAAAGAAACTTCCGAGGGCTTGACAGCGGAAGTAAGAATGAGGTTTGCAAAGAAGAAACCCCAGGACTCGCGAGTGAGCTGGCCAGGATGGAGGAGCGGTCGAGTTGATATTTCTACCCGATTTTAGATTGTTCCGTCCAAGCGTTCCCCGGCCTCAAGCTACCCCAGGCTGGCAGGCTACTCCGCAAATCCTAGGATCCAAGAACCTGCACGTTCAACGTCTAGCCGGGTATTGACTATTGGTGATCATCTCCTTGTTTCCGCACCCCAGTTCGAGGTAGGATTCTGGAAAGGCGTGCTGCAAGCGCGACCCTGTCGGCGCCAACGCTGCATCTTGAGTCGCTAGCCTCTGGGGTTCGCCAACCCCGCCACCATGCCGTCCATACAGATAGTGGAGTGCTTGGGAATGCGGAGTAGGATCAAGCAGTGTGGAGAGTGCCACCACTTGGCGGTGGTCCGTTTGTGGTAAAACATCGGCGTAGATGCTGCCGAAAGGCCACCCGCGTCACTCGTGAAGGCATGTGATGGGTCAAGCTCGCGCGAGTGTCATGCGAAGCTTCGCTGCTGGGCCTAAGGCGGCTGGTGGAAGATTTTGTCCGCCTGCAGCATGTTGGCGGCGGCTGGCTTTCCCAGGATGAGTCGTGTCAGGCGGCCAAGCTCCTTCACGGCGGTCGCACTTCCCTCCACGGTGTCTTCCGGACCTCCAAGAGGTAAGCGATTGGTGACCTTCACGCCGGTGCCGTCGGTTTAGTGATCAACGAATCTCGGTGCAATGCAATGCGAGCGCGGCAGAAGCCCTAGAGCGGGATGTCAGCAGTAGGCGTCCATGGTCTCGGTGTTGATGTTTGACACGAAGAAAGAGCCGCGCCTTCCAGGAACCCATCTGCTGGAGCAACACCACGTGTGCCCAGCGCCCAGTCGGGGTAGAGATGGACGAGTCGGTGCAACAGGGCACGAAATCTGGCAGTGACATGCAGCATCGATGCAATTGACGCGGTCGAGGACCCTGAGCGTTCCCCAGTTTTCGCTCCCCGCTCCGTTCCTGGGTTGAGCTCTACCGACGCGTGTGACCGACGGCCAGTATCTAATACCCACTTGCTAGACTACGCGTGTGACGATATCTGTTCTCTTGCTGTCTTCTTCTAATACTTGCGTTACTTTCCTCAATCCCTTGTTGCTGTGATCCTCATTTAGTTGCGAGCACATCCCACCACACAATCGCTGCCAACGCGACGTAACAACGAAACGCGCCCACCATGTCCACACTCACAGTCCACGGCCTCACAAAAGGCCAAATAGACGAGAAGATCCTCCTCCTAACCCACAACCTGATCAACATCCACGACACAACCGGCGAGTTCCTCCTAAAACTCGACGATGGCCGCGTTATCGACACCAAAGGCTGGGACGGCTGGGAGTGGACACACGGCATCGGTCTCTACGGGTTATGGCACTACTACACGCTGACGGGCAGCACGGCGACAATGGACATCATGCAAGGCTGGTTCTCCAAGCAACTCAGCAAAGGCACGACCAAGAACATCAACACCATGAGCCCCTTCCTCACACTAGCATACCTATACGAAGAGACAGGAAACAAGACATTCGTCCCCTGGCTAGATACATGGGCAGAATGGGTGATGCACGGTCTGCCCCGCACCAAATTCGGCGGCTTCCAACATGAGACATACAACTCGTTCAACAAAGACGAACTCTGGGACGACACCCTCATGATGAGCGCTTTACCCCTCGCTAAGATCGGTCTTGTGCTCAACCGACCCGAATACGTCGAGGAGGCAAAGCGCCAATTCATCCTCCACTGCCAGTACCTCTGCGACACATCCACAGGCCTCTTCTTCCACGGCTGGAAGTGGGAGGACAAGGGCGGATTGGAAGTCGGACACAACTTTGCGCGAGCACGGTGGGCGCGTGGAAACTCTTGGTTGACGATTGCGATTCCGGATTTCATTGAACTGCTCGATCTCAAGGAGACGGATCCGCTACGCCAGTTCCTCATTGGAATCCTCGAGTCGCAATGTCAGGCGCTGCTCAAACTGCAGGGCGAGAACGGCATGTGGCGCACTCTTCTCGATATCCCTGTGTCGGAAGGTAGCTACGAGGAGGCGTCTGCTACGGCGGGCTTTGCGTATGGTATGCTCAAGGCGTGTCGGAAGAGGTATATTAGTGGGGACGTGTATCTGCAGAGCGCGGTCAAGGCGATCAAGGCTGTCATGGGCAAGATCAGTGCGGAGGGTGAGTTGACGGAGACGAGCTTTGGAACGGGTATGGGTCATGATTTGCAGCATTATAAGGATATCAAGATTACGAGTATGCCGTATGGGCAGGCTATGGCTATTATGGCGCTTGGAGAGTTTATGAGGACGTTTATCTAGGGATAATGTTTGGACAGAGGTAGTGCATGATGAATGAAGGAATGAATACCAGTACTCGTACACGAACTATAATTTGGGAGGGGAGGCATTGTGACAAGCATGGCGATGACACTCAACAGTTCTAATATCTCTCTTCTCTAATTGATGACCGGTGTTCATTCCATCCCCACATGTTCGAGGGAGACAGCCCCGTGCTAGCGTGAGAGCTACGCGATTGGGGGTTGGCTTGGCACGCGCGTCCCGTTACATCATCGCTCTCGGCGCGCGTGCGAGCGAGGGCTGCTGTGCCGCAACCATGCATCTTCACAGCTAATCATTCTACGACCTACGTGTACGTCGCACTGCGCATATCCTTATCGTTATACACATGTCGAGTTGAAGTAAGTCGCATTACCCGCTTCGCGCCGCTCAGCTTACCCCAGACGGTAAGATGCTCGGACTCCCTGATGCTTACAAGTTTCTAGCAGATTCGCGCGCCCTGAAACACCTTCCGTATACCACGACCGAACGACGGTACCTGATACCAAGCGAACACACTGTTCTCCACGACACGCTGTTATCCTCCGACGCTTTACCGCCGACGCAATCGCATTCTTGAACGGGACGACCCGCGACAATGGCAAGAAAGAGGGGTTACGAAGGAGGACATGGCAACAACAAGAATAAAAAACGAAAGCCTGACACGTCAAAGCCGGCAGACCAGCTTATAGCCGATCTCGATAAACTCTATCGAAGACCTGCGCCGGAAGTAGCGGCGCGGACTGCGAGACTGCCTCGCTCCCAGCTTCCCATCGAAGAATGGGGACTGTTCGTTGACAAAGAGACACCTGCATTCGGCAAGTGTTATGGAATACTGGGACATGTGCCTGGTGTATATGTCGACTATGAATATGCCAGGCATAATGTGCTTACAGGCTTCGGTGGGAACGCAAGCCAGAAGCATTCGTCTGTCAATGAAGCATGGGCTTGGCTGCGCGCAAGGGCTCCCGCAGTCGACGAGGCACTTAATCGCCCAAAGGGTCGCGCTTGGCTGGCTCATTTGGGGGTTCGGGTCCAGCAACCTCAAGGCATTCAGCAGCATGGAGCGGTGCAACAACAACAAACATCTCAACAGCAACAACAATACCAGCAGCTTCAACCACAACACCAGCTCCAACAACACCAGCAGCTTCAACAACATCAGCAAGTTCAACAACATCAGCAAGTTCAACAACATCAGCAAGTTCAACAGCATCAGCAGCTTCAACAGCATCCGCAGCACCAACAGCATCAGCAGCACCAACAGCTTCAGCAATACCAACAGCATCAACAGCTTCAACAACACCACCAGCATCAACAGCTTCAGCAACTTCAACAGATTCAGCAGCTTCAACAGCTCCAACAGCACCAACTTCAACAGATTCAGCAGCTTCAACAGCACCAACAGCACCAACAGACATCGATGACTTCAACTCCTCAGCGCGCATCCTCGTCGAACTCGAGGCCACCTGCCGGGTCTTCTGCCACCACCTCATCATCTCAAGCAATATCTGGGTCAGGCACAGGCAATCCTGAACCTGAGGTGACATTGAGCCGCGAGCAAGAGAGAGTGGTAGCTCGCATCATGCAAGGGCGCAATGTCTTCTACACTGGTTCGGCTGGCTGTGGAAAGTCTGCTATTCTTAGAGCCTTTAAGACAAGACTGGAAGCTGCGGGCAAACGAGTCGATGTGATCGCACCAACCAACCTTGCTGCACTGAACGTGGGAGGCATCACGCTACACAGCTACGCGGGCTGGGTTCCGGTTGATAATGCAAAGAAAGACGATTATTCAATCGATGAACTTAAGAAAAGACTTTTCAAGAAGAACAAGGACGAAAAGACCACTGCGTATCATTTCGAGCAAACTGATGTCCTTGTCATCGATGAGATCAGCATGGTGGACAGCAACTCCTTTCGCCGTTTGAACGAGGTGATGAAGTGTGCTAGAAAAAGCACTGCAGCGTTTGGTGGCGTACAGATGGTTGTCACAGGAGATGTATGTTGACAGGTCCACCTCAGTGAGTTCACCAGCTAACGAATGTAGTTCTGTCAGCTCCCACCAGTCAAGCCCTTCGAACGTTGTTACCGGTGCGGGAAAGTGCTTGTGAAAGATGAGAGTAAGGATGAATGCATGATTCATCCGAAGAATGCCAAATGCACCGAGACCGAGTTTCTAGACAAAGATAAATGGGCTTTCCGTAGCGACGCGTGGCGGGTATGTAGTCTTTGCTTGTATGACTTCAATCGTGTTACTAAATACGGCAGGAATGTAATTTCGAATGTATTCATCTCAAGACGATTTATCGGCAAAGCGATCCGGTGTTCCAGTCCATCCTACAGGAATATCGCCTAAGTAGGTACATCAGATCTTGACAGCCTTGACTGTCTATGACATGCCAACGTTACTAACAATGGTCAGCTGGCACAGTTCCGGAACATCTTCAGAGAATTTTGCTCCAACCGCGCCCAGAGCTGGAAGACGCCGTTGTGTTATTACCTAAGAATCACCTGGTCAAGAGAGTCAACCGGGAAAAGCTGAAGGAACTGAGCACGCCTGCTCTGGAGTATACATGCAGGGATCA